AAAAAAAAAATCTCCTATAAAGTACATGCTCCTAGTTAACTGAGTACTCCCTCCTCTACAACACTTATTCATTTTGTACTTGGCATTTTACATTTACTTCAAACGCTACTAGCATTATTATGAAAAGTCCTGGCTACCCTACTGTACCAGGAGATAGTTAGGGCAAGGAATGACAAATCTCTACATATAAGTCACTCACTTGTGGCTCGTGCCTATAATCTTAGATACTCAGGAGGATGGCCCAGGCAGGCAAGCTCATGAGATTCTTTTTGTTGTTGGTGGTGGTGGTGGTAGTAGTCGTCATGGGTTGAACTCTGGGCCTGGGCGCTGTCCTCAGCTCTTCAGCTCACAGCGAGCACTCTACCACTTAGGTCACAGCGCCACTTCTGGTTTTCTGATGGTTTATTGGAGATAAGAATCTCCCAGGGCTGGAAAGGTGGCTCAGTGGAAGAGCGCTTGCCTTGCATGCAGGAGGCCCTGGGTTTGATTCCTCAGCACCACATAAGCAAAAAGAAAAAAGCCGGAAGTGACACTGTGGCTCAAGTGGTAGAGCGCTATCCTTGAGCTGAAGAGCTGAGGGACAGCACTCAGGCCCAGAGTTCAGGCCCCATGACCGGACCAAAAAAAAAAAAAGAATCTCCCAGACTTTCCTGCCCCAGCTGGCTTTGAACCATGATCCTTAGATATCATCTCAGCCTTTTGCATAGTTAGGATTACAGGTGTGAGCCACCAGTGCCCAGCTCATGAGATTCTTATCTTCGGTTAACCACCAGAAAACTAGAAGTGGCACTGTGGCTTAAAGTGGTAGAATGTTAGCCTTGAGCAGAAGAGCTTGTGGATAGCACCCAGGCTCTGAGTTCAAGCCCCAAAACTGGTAAAAGAAAACAAAACTGGGAGGGGTAGGTAGCAGGGAGGATTGGGTGGGGGGGAGGGAGGAGGATGGGAAGGGGAAACAAAGGAGGAGGCTACAATGCTTGATAAGAAATGTACTCATTGGGCTGGGAAGGTGGCTCAGTGGCAGAGCGCTTGCCTTGCATGCATGAAGCCCTGGGTTCGATTCCTCAGCACCACATAAGCAAAAAGAAAAAAGCCGGAAGTGGCGCTGTGGCTCAAGTGGTAGAGCACTAGCCTTGAGCTGAAGAGCTGAGGGACAGCGGCCAGGCCCAGAGTTCAGGCCCCACAACTGGACCCAAAAAAAAAAGAAAAATGTACTCATTATCCTGCCCATGTAATTGTAACCCCTCTGTACAGTATTTACACAATAAAAAAAAAAAAAAAGAAAACAAAACTCTACATTTAGAACAAGGCCTAAACACAGTAGGCATTCAATCAGTATTTGATAAATTGATACATAAATGTGCTTGCTGTTTTTTACTATGAACATACACACATATTATTATTATTATTTTGCCATTCCTGGGGCTTGAACTCAGGGCCTGGGCACTGCCCTGAGCTTCTTTTTGCTCAAGGCTAGAACTCTACCACTTGAGCCACAGTGCCACTTTCAGCCTTTTCTGTTAATATGGTACTGATGAGTTGAACTCGGGGCTTCATGTATTTTAGGCAAACACTCTACCACTGAGCCACATTTCCAGCCTACCACATATATTTTTGTGCATGTGTGTGTCAGTCCTGGGGCTTGAACTCAAAGCCTGGATGCTGTTCCTGAGCTTTTGTGCTCAAGGCTAGCACTCTACCACTTATACCACAGCTCTTTTTCTGGCTAAATTGGAGATGAGAGGCTCAAAGACTTTCCTGTCCAGGCTGGCTTGAAACTTTGATCCTCAGATCTCAGCCTCCTGAATAGCTAGGATTACAGGCATGAGCAACCAGTACTGGGCTACATTTTTGGGGGGGAGTGGGAAGTTAAATGATTTTTTTTTGCATTCAAAAAAATTATCTAAGTAACTGTACAAAGGAGTTTCCATTTAACAAAGCAGTTTATGAATACAATATGTCTTGATCAATGTCACTTCTTTCAACATTCTCACTCATCCTTTTCCAACCTACCTCCTCCCTCACTCTTCTTAGTTTTGTAGGATATGCACTGGATTCTTTTTTTTGGGGGGGGGGGGAGGAGCTGGGGTCCAGTGGTGGGCCTCAACTCTGGGCCTGGGCGCTGTCCCTCAGCATTCCAGCTCAAGGCTAGCGCTCTACCACTTGAGCCACAGCGCCACTTCCGGCTTTTTTTTCCTGCTTATGTGGTGCTGAGGAATCGAACCCAGGGCCTAGTGCTCTACCACTTGAGCCACAGCGCCACTTCGGCTTTTTTTTCCTGCTTATGTGGTGCTGAGGAATCGAACCCAGGGCCTCATGCATGCAAGGCAAGCACTCTACCACTGAGCCACTTTCCCAGCCCTGCACTGGATTCTTGACTCCATTTCTTCCCCTCTTCTTTTCTTCATTTGTCTACTTCTTTCCCCTTAACCCCACTCTACCTCTTTCAAGTACTTGTTTCCTGGTGTTTCAGGCTACATATTATTATTTACACTCGTTGTACCACAGGGGTTCCATTATAACATTTCCACACATGCATACAATTTATCAACCACATTCCCTATACCCTTTCTCTTTCCTGAAACATTTTTGTTTTTGTTTGTCTGAGGTGGGGCTTGAACTCTGGGCCTAGGTACTGTCCCTCAGTTCTTCAGCTCAAGACTAGCCCTCTATTACTTGGGCCACAGTGCCACTCTGGTTTTCTGAGTGATTTAGTGGAGATAAGAGTTTCATGAACTTTCCTACCTGGACTGACTTTGAACTGAGATCCTCAGATCTCAGCCTCCTGAGTCGCAAGGATTACAGGCATGAGCCACTGGCGCCTGGCTCCTGAAACATTTTCAGCAGGCTTTATTCTTCTATTTCATCCATGCAAGCAAACTTACTTCCTCCATATTCTTCCTCTTTCACCTTTCTCTGTTACCCCTACGCTTCCCTGTGGCACTCATCCCCCTTCAAACTGCCCAATTGCCTTTCACTTTTCCTCTTTTTTTTTTTTTCCTTTGGTCAGTTGTGAGGCCTGAACTCTGGGCCTGGGCGCTGTCCCTCAGCTCTTCAGCTCAAGGCTAGCACTCTACCACTTGAGCCACAGTGCCACTTCCAGCTTTTTCTGCTTATGTGTTGCTGAGAAATTGAACTCAAGCTCATGCATGCAAGGCAAGGACTCTACCACTGAGGCACCTTCCCAGCCCCATCATTTTTCCATTGTTTGAGTCAAAGCCTCCACTATGGTGCCCAGATGTTATACATCTACTAAACCTTGCTCAGAACCATCACCTCTACTGCTTTCTCCTGACCCACCCCCAACCTCCTGTTAATCAACAGCTTCCATTTAACCTCCTAATGCACACTTCTTACATAGCTGCAATGTATTTACAAGTTACTGATCCTCCACCTTTCTTTTCCCACTCCCTTCCCTAATCCTCCTATACTCCCATAGTTAAGAGTCATGTTCTTTTTGTCAGTTATGGGGCTTGAACTCAGAGCCTGAGCATTGTCCTTTAGCGTTTTTGCTCAAGGGTAGCACTCTACCACTTTGAGCCACAGCTCCACTTCAGTTTTCTGGTGGTTAATATAAGAGTCTCATGGGCCAGGTGCCAGTGGCTTATGCCTGTAATCCTAGCTACTCAGGAGGCTGAGATCTAAGGATTGTGGTTCAAAGCCAGCCCAGGCAGGAAAGTCCATGAGACTCTTATCGCCAATTAACCACCAGAAAACCAGAAGTTGTGCTGTGGCTCAAGTGGCAGAGCCCTCCCTTAAGCTGAAGAGCTCAGGGACAGTGCCCAAGTTCAAGCACCGTGACTACCAAAAAAAAAGTCTCATGGGGACTTTTTGCCCTGGCTGGCTTTGAATTGCGATCCTCAGATCTCAGCCTCCTGAGTGGCTAGGATTACAGGCTTTAGTCAACAGTGCCAGGCTACACTATGGAGCCAGCACTCTCTGAATGAAGCCAATTCAAAGATGAAGACCTATCTGAAGAGAAAAAGTAATGATGAACCCAAATACGTGAAAACAAACTATGATTTCTGCCATAGAAGAATATCAGAAGTGTACCAATTTGGAATTAGCAACCCACTCAGGTTAACAGTCTGAGCATTACATATTATGGGGTTTTGTTTGGTGGTGGTAGTGGAGGTTGAACACTGCCACATGTATGATACAATAAAATAATTGGAATAGGGCTGAGAAGGTGGCTCAGTGGTAGAGTGCTTGCCTTGCATGCATAAGGCCCTGGGTTTGATTCCTCAGCACCACATAAGCAGAAAAAGCCGGAAGTGGTGTTGTGGTTCAACTGGTAGAGCGCTAGCCTTGAGCTGAAGAGCTGAGGGACAGCATCCAGGCCCAGATTTCAGGCTGCACAAATGGACCAAATAATAATAATAATAATAATAGGAATATGCGTCTTCCCTACAAAGTCCTTTGGTAAGCATGGCTGATAACCAAGGAACAAGAGGAAAGTTGACATCAACTGGAATTAAAAAAGAACACATGCAACATGATAAATTATACAAGATCTAAGCATTCACACACAGTGAGACCAAAGGAGGATATTCTTAGGAGAGAATCACAAAGGTGCAATGCCGTCTGATCATATAAAATAATATTTATCAAAATGAACTCCAGGAAATGGAAAGAAGAGGCTTTTTTTCTTTGTTGCCTTTTTGCTTTCTTTTCCTTTTGTCTTGTTTGTTCATTTATCTATCTTTGGGGGGGGGGGGGAGTCACAGAAATGGAGGAACAAAGGGTAAACAAATGCAGCAGTGCTACTCACACTATGTTGAAAATGATGTATACAACTTGTGGGTGGAGCTGGGGAGAAAAAACTGGGAAAGAGCACTGTCCAAAAAGAACTGTACTCTTTGCCAGATTAATATAACTGTAACCCCTCAGTATATCACCTTTATCATAACACTTAAATTTTAAATATGAGGGGAAAAAAAGAACCCATACATGATTCTCATTGTCATAGAACTAGCTTTCATCAGTGCCTGCTTATGGCCTACCTGAGCTAGAGTGGGGATTGAATTCTGGCCACTCTGAGTTTGCATATGACCAGAATCTCGCTCTACCACAGAATTTATTATGCTTCCATCCTGTGGAGATTCAATTGTTTCCATGGTCATTTGTCTGGAACGACAACAAAAAGGGAAAAACATTAAGGCTCTGACTGAATTATCTGGAAATACTGAGTATAATTTTAACCTTGCTTTCTGATAGCCAGTTATACTGCCTTATAGGATGCCAGATATGAAATGTTTTATGGGAATTAACTTTTTTGTGTGCTGGTATGGGGGCTTGAACTCAGGGCCTAGGTGTTGCTTTTTTTCCACTACAGACTGACGCTCTACCACATATCACATGGCTTTTTGGAGGTTAATTGGTGCTAACATGGAGTTTTCTACTCAGGTTGGCTTTGATCTGATTCACAGATCTCCACCTCCTGAGTAGCTAGGATTACAGGGGATAAGCCACCTGGCTAGAATTAACTTATTTTAAAATTAAAGCAACCTTTATAATAATGCTGTCCTGAAAATCATTTCAAGTGTTGCTTAGTATTTGTAAGTGATAACATTAGGTTTGTCTATTTTACATGAAAATTATAACTATTCTATAAATCTCAGACCTAATAGATCTGCTTTATATTACAGTATTGTTGAAAGGGATTCTCCATTATCTAAATTAAATGTGTTAAAATCATGTGTCTTGTTTTATTAGTACTAAGCAGTTTTTGAAAAACAAACCTCCCTTCAAAAAGTTGAACTACAAAAAAAAAAAACAAAAAAACAACAGTTAAATTACATCTAGGCGCAGGTGGCTCACACCTGTACACTAGCTACTTAGAAAGCTAAGATCTGAGGATCAAAGTTGGAAGCTATCCTGAGCAGGAAGTTTGTGAGACTCATCTCCAGTTAAATACCAAAAAACCAGAAGTGGGCATGTGGCTAAGTGGTAGAGCACCAGCTTTGAGTAAAAAAACTAAGTGACAGTGCTCAGGCTGTGAGTTCAAGCCCCAGTACTACACACACACACACACACACACACACACACACACACACACACACACACACACACACACACACACACACACACACACACACACACACACACACACACACACACACTGAATCAGTAAGGCTTGACCACATTCCCTCCAGCTCCTCAGTTGTATTTTGTTTCAGTGTTCAGGATGGAATCCAGCACCTAGCTAGGCAAGTGCTGTATCACTAAGCTACATCCATAGCACTTCATCAGTTATTTTAGAAGGAGAATCTAATTTTTCCAGGAAAATATTTTTTCCTTTTCTCTTTTTTTTACTGGTCCTGGGTGCTGTTCCTGAGCCTCTCTGTGCTCAAGGAGAGCACTCTATCACTTTGAACCACAGTGCCACGTCCAGCTTTTTCCGAATTTGAAGATAAGAGTCTCACAAACTTTTCTGCGGGGCTGGCTTCAAACAATCCTCAGATCTTAGCCTCCTGAGTAGCTAGCATTACAGGGATGAGCCACTGGTACCTGGCATCCAGAAAAAAAATTGGTCATAATTTTACTTTGTTTCTGAAGTCAATTTAAGCTAATGGTTTCCATGTGGAATTTTTCTAGAAGGTAAATCATGTTATAATAAATTTTACTATATTAAGAGTAAATATAAATACAAACAAAATAAATTAAATTCATTTTTAAACTTACTTTAAGAACTGTTATTCCTACTGCTGAACATCTTTTCAAATATCAACAGTACAAAATATTTTTTCTACGTTATACTCTAAATATATATCCAAATAGTATGTTATTTCCTTAGGACTTTGAATGAAAATAAGTTTTGTAAATGTCCAAATTGGGGTTTTTGCAGATTTAATTGACTAACATATCTTCTTTGAATTTCAATGGCAATTGCCTGAATCCAGGCCTTCCAGCTCAAATCTTTCAACTATAATCTATATTAAGTCATTTTGATGCTCATAACTGACCATGCAAAGCTAGAGCAATTTATACCAAAAAAAAGGTTGCCTACCATGGAAGAATATTTTTCCTCTAATATTCCCCAAGCTATCTATATTATTATTATTATTATTATTATTTGGTGATTCTAGGGTTGTGTTCTACAATCTGATCCATACCTCCACCCCTATTGCTAGTTATTTTCTTTTTTTGGGTTGGTCACGGGGCTTGAACTTGGGGCCTCAGTACTGTCTCTCAGCTCCTTTTGCTCCAGGCTAGTGCTCTACCACTTTGAGCTACAGCTCCATTTCTGGTTTTTTGGATAGTTAATTGGAGATGAGAGTCTCACCGGGACTTTTTTGCCCATGGCTTCAAACCATGATCCTCAGATCTCAGCCTCATGAATAGCTAGCAGCACCCAGCTCTGTTGCTAGTTAGTTTCAAGATTGGGTCCCTGGAATTCTTTTGCTAACATCACACACCTCAGTATTTCCATTTTCAGACCCCAAATGAGCGAGGCTTTACTGACATGGGTCACTAGATCTCTCTTTTTCTCTCTCCCTTTTTTGGGGGGAGGGTGTGCCAATCCTGGGGCTTGAACTCAGAGCCTACTATCTAATCCTATGATTTTTTTTTTTTTTTTTGTCAGTTGTGTGGCTTGATCTCTGGGCTTGGGCGCTGTCCCTCAGCTCTTTAGCTCCAGGCGAGCGCTCTACCGCTTGAGCCACAGCACCATTTCCGGTTTTCTAGTGGTTTATTGGAGATAAGTCACAGACTTTCCTGCCTGGGCTGGCTTTGAACCACGATCCTCAGATCTCAGCCTCCTGAGTAGCTAGGATTACAGGCGTGAGCCACCGGTGCCCGGCTCCTGAGATTCTTTACTCAAGGCTAGCACACTACAAGTTGAGCCACAGCTCTACTTCTTTGTTTGTGGTTTTTTTTTCCTGCCCAGGTTGGCCCTGAATCTCAATCCTCTGATCTTAGCCTCCTGAGTAGCAAGATTATAGGCTTGGATCTCTTTTCTTATTATTTCTTACCATAGCCTCTCTGGTTCTGAGTAAGTGTAAGTCATCCTCACTCATAAAGTGCTATTCTGCACTGCTCTACTTGTGTTTATATGTGCACCTCCAAAGAAAATGTCACAGAACATGAGTTTTATAGATGAAAAGGAAAAGAAGATGGGAGAATGCGCCTCAAAACATTTAAAGTACCCTAAGATGAAATGGGGTTGGATACTAGCAGTTTACACCTGTAATCCTAGCTAGTCAGGAGGCTGAGCTCTAAGGATCACCATTCAAAGTCCAGGCAGAAAAATCAGTGCAACTCTTATCCCTAATTAATTGGGAAAAAGCTGAAGTGGAAGTGTGGCTCAAATGATAGAGCATCAACCTTGAGTAAAAAAACCAAAGGACTCCACAAGGTCCTGAGCTCAAGCCCCAATACTAGAACAACAACCACCACTAAAAGATCAAGGGCACAGTGCCTCATGCCTGTAACTCCAGCTTCTTGGGAGTCAGAGATCTGGAAGGATTGCAAGTTGAGGCCAGACCAAGAAACAAGTTATGAAACAAAGCTGCGCTGGGGGGGAAGGGGCGGGGGGGGGGGGGCGGGGAGACACAGACAGGACGACTAGAAATGTGGCTTAGTGGTAGAGTGCTTACCTAGCATGCATGAAGTCCTGAGTTCAATTACTCAGTATCACATAAACAGAAAAAGCTGGAAGTAGCACTGTGGCTCAAGTGGTAGAGTGTTAGCCTTGAGCAAAAGAAATTTAGGGACAGTGCTCAGGCCCTGAGTTCAAGTCCTAGGACTGGCAAAAAATAAAACAAAAACATAAAAAACAAAGGCACTGGTGGTTCACACCTCTAATCCTAGCTACTCAGGAGGTTGAGATCTGAGGATCATCATTCAAAGCCAGCCAAGACAGGAAAATCCATGAGACTCTTACCTCCAATTAACCACCAAAAAATGTGAAGTAGAGCTGTGGCTCAAAGTGGTACAGCGCTAGCTGTGAGCAAAAGGCTCAGCAACAGTACCCCATCACTGACCAAAAAACCAAAGCTGGAAGCTAAATGCTGGTGGCTCAAGCCTATAACCCTAGCTACTCAGAAGGCTGAGATCTGAGGAACACTATTTGAAGTCAACCTGGGCTTGAAAGTCCATGAAACTATCTCCAGTTAACCACCAAAAGGCCAGAAGTAGGGCTCAAGTGGGGCACTAGCCTTGAGCAAAAATCTCAGGGACAGTGCCTAGGCCCTGAATGGGCAAGCGCGCGCACGCACACACACGCACACACACGCATGCACACACACACACACACACAGAGCCCCAGGATGGGCACAAAAAAATAAATAAAAGCTAGATGTGGCAATGTATACCTGTGATCCCACCTGTAATGATGGCATAAATAGGAAAATTGTAGTCCAGACCAGCCCTGGCAAAGAATGTGACACTCTATCAAGAATTACTAATGTACAGCCAGAGTTGTGGCTCAAGCTTGTAACCTGAGTTACTTGGGTGGTGGAGATAGGAGGATTGAGGTGAGGCTGGCTCAGGCATTAAAGTTCAAAAGATTCCATCTCAAACAGTGTCTGGGCATGACTCCCATCCCCAGAAACATGAACAAATACAAGTAAGAAGACCGCAGCCAAGGTCCACTCAGGCATAAACAATAGCCTATCTAAAAAATAATCAACACAAACAAATAAATAAAGTAAACATAAAGGGCTGGAGGATATAGCTTGGATATAACAAGTTGACAGAGCTCCCACTTAGCAAGTACAAGAATCTGAGTTCAAACTCCAGTACAACAATCACCACTCCCAACAAAAACAACAGTGAAGTTATGCCTTAAGAAGGTGGAAGGGGGGCGGGTACAGGAGGGCAGGGATGGTAAGGGGAAACAAAGGAGGAGGCAACAGTGCTTGATAAGAAATGTACTCATGCCAGCCCCCCAGTGGTACCCGTCTGTAATCCTAGCTACTCAGGAGGCTAAGATCTGAGGATTGAGGTTCAAAGCCAGCCTGGGCAGGAAAGTCCGTGAGACTCTTATCTCCAATAAACCACTAGAAAACCAGAAGTGGCGCTGTGGCTCAAGCAGTAAAGAGCTCACCTTGAGCTGAAGAGCACAGGGACAGCACCCAAGCCCAGAGTTCAAGCCCCATGACTGACCAAAAAAAAAAAAAAAGGAA